GAGGGAGAGGGAGAGGGAGAGGGAGAAAGCAAGCAGAGCAGAGCAAAGCAAAGCAGCAGCAGCTGGTGGTGTGGTGATGCACACCTGTAATTCCAGCACTTGGGAAGCTGAGGCAGAAGGATCCCCATGAGTTCAAGCCCAGCATGAACTACATAGTGAAACACTGCCTCAAGAAAAAGAATTTTTAAAAAAGAAAATGGAGCAAATCACTACTTTATTGTTAATCCATTTCCTATGACTCTCAGTAAACAATTTAAATAGGTAACATACCTGTACTCATTAGTGTAGTCAAAATCTTGCTTATTATGGGTTGGCTTAAGGAAGTTACACTCTATAATTCCAACCACTCCAACACCCATGTTGTTTGCCTGAAACAACAACATGAAATCACTTCAGACATATCATGTGCAAAACACTCTTAAACAGAGATTTACAACTTGCAGAAAATATTGTCCTGAATTCAGCACAAACAAGTCTCATGAAATTTAGGCTGAAAACAAAACACTTTCTGGAAGATGATTTATGGTGTGGGGGGTTATTAACACCTAAACAGAGCTTTTCGCTAAACCCATTCCCATTACTTTTAGACAACTACAGTATTATCTTCCCACCCTCAAATTCGTCCAAGAGTAAAAGGATTACTTCTACTAGGCTGCCATTCCTTAAAACAGCAGGATTCCACAAATGACTCAATACTGCAGTGCCTCGCAAAGGTAGTGGCATACAATATTCTGACGGTCCGCTAGATAAGGCTAACAGCCTGTAGTCCAGCACTCAGGAAGCTGAAGCAGGAAGACCACTTGCAAAGACTTCAGGAGTTGAAGGCTAGCCTGGGCATAATAGCAAAACCCCATCTCCAAAAACAAACCAAAGCCATTTAGCCAGTTTCATATCCAGTTACTAATGAGGAAGAAATAAAACCTAGGTCAACTGAATCTGTTATTAAAAAAAAAAAACTTACTAGCTAAAATATTGAGCTCAAATTGTATGAGTCATATTGTGAATTTTACATGAGATTAACAAGTGTATTCTGCTCAGGACTATCACTTTTGAGTCAACATTCAAAGAGAAAAAGATGAGCATGTGTGATGTATACAAAATGAACATTTTCATAAACCACAGACCGAATCATTCAAATCAAACCATAGCTGGACTTCATCTTGTAGAATCCGTAACCTGTGCTGACACCAAGACCACTTACAGCTCCAGTCCTCCCACCCAGCTACAGACAAAGCCAATGCGCTCCCTTTATGCTGCCGTGCTCTCAGAAGTCACCTCTGCCCACAAAGCCCTTCTTGGACTTTGCAAAACAGTGACATCAACACAGACATCTCAATCACCAGTGCCTCCATGAGGATGTTCCTGACACTGAGGGCCCAGCGCTGAGTGCACTGTGACACATACTCAGTGTCTATCTTTAATATGCTGAGCACATAGCACAGCACTTCGGACTGAGTATCTGCTACCTATCTGTTTGTTCACTGAACCCACACAATGCAAGTATTTGGCCCACTCCCTCTTCTGGTAAGACAAACATTAAAACTTTGCTCTAGGGCTGGGGATTTAGCTCAGCGGCACCGCTGCCTGCCTCACAAGCATAAGACCCATGAGTTTGATCCCCAGTACCCCCCCAAAAAAACCTCTGCTCTAACAGTCTATTTTACAATCAAGCTGACTCGGAAATGATATACAATGCAAATTAACTGGGCTGAAAAGGAAGGTTTGTAGTCTACCTAGTTAGGTCAAATTCACAAATGACAAAAGAAAAGGAATTTACACATACACATGTTGTAAACACATACTAGCAAAATTTCACTACCAAAATGCTTTTCTAATTACTGATAAAGTTTATTTTACTGTAATAGTACATTATAGAATACTTATGGCAAAGTGTTTCTAACTGGAAAATCAGCATTTTAAATAAATGTCATTGGTGCCTCTTTTGGGGAGGGGGGTACCAGGGATCAAACTCAGGTCCTTGTGCTTGTGAGGCAGGCAAGCAGAACCACTGAGCTAAATCCCTGGCCCCGGTACCTCATATGATTGCCAGATTTTTGGATTTCCCGACTAAAATTAGTAGTTGCAAATAACAGTCCCACAAAGTTCTTTTACTTCTGAAAAAATACAGCTGATTATGCTGGGCTTGTGTCAGGCAAAATAGGTGAAACAGAGCTATAATCCATGTTGGACTGTATTCAAGATGAATTCACATTACTGCACCACCACGCTCACAACATTCTAGAAATAACTGAGAATGAAATAAGATGAACAGGAAATAAACTGTGGCGAACTAGAAAAAACATACCCAATGTTAAGGATTGTGTCTATATGTCTCCCCAAAGCCTCATGCACTCACAGGTGGGACTTGTGGGAGGTGCATGGATCTAAAGTGTATGATGCTGGATTTGGGTGTGTGATACTGGGATTAAGCGTAGGTGTAGATGGTATCAATTAATAGGCTCGTGACCTGGATGGAATGAATACAAAGGGACAGAAAGAAGGCAGGCTCACGGCTGCTGCTTGGTGCTTCACTACCCTCTGCCTGCCATGCTATGAACTGTTTCTCTGTGATGCCCCTTTGCTGTGCCACCCTGCCCTGAAGCCAGGTGACTATTGGACTGAAACCTCTACAAATTGTAAGCCAAAATAAAACTCTCTTCCTTTACTTGTGGGTGTCAAGTATTTTGTCCTAACAGCAAGTAACTAAGACAGGGGGTCTTAAAACCTGTTAACATGAAAGTGTATGGTGCACGCCTGTAATCCCAGCACTCAGAATGCTGATGCAGAAGGATCACCATGAGTTCAAGGCCAGGCTGGGCTACACAGTGAATTCAAGGCCAGCCTGAACTGTATAGTGAGAGACCCTATTTCAAAAAAAAACCAAAATATAAATAAATAAACCAAACCTGTTAACACAGTTAATTTTCAGAATTATCACTGAATTCTCAGAAAATGCATGCACACCCACTAAAAGCCACTCTCTGAAAGTACATATAGGATTGGCAGGTTGACCTGGTGGGTTAGGGTCATCATCCTAAAGTGAATTCCACAACAAAAATTGCCAAGAGGACAGTTGCAAGGTACTTAGGAACTGATTCCAGAAAAGAAAATAACCTATCAGATACCATCTTTCAGGCTGATTCAGTCAGCACTAATAAGTAGCAACCAATTTCATTTTACTAAGAAATAGTCAGTGTATCTCTATCTGAATGCAGACAAAGACAGCTGTGGCTGCCTGAGACCGCACACAAACTGCAGAACCTATGTAACCTCAGCCCCAACTTCCTTTTCTGTAAAGTAGGAATAAATTTTTTATCTTCCCTTCTAGGACTGAATCAGAATCAAGTAAGAAATTAATGCAAAGTCCAAATATCATACTAATGCTAGAATTGCTATCTGCGAGTCTTGTGGGGGGGAACTTCACGAAGTTAATTTACCTTTGACTCAATAACATTATACTGGGCTGGGGATTTAGCTCAAGGACCCAAGTTTGATCCTCAGTACGGAAAAAAAAACAAAAAAACATTATACTAACTTTTGTTAAAAGCAGACATTTTCTAAAGTGGGGAGAAGGGGGAAAAATAGACATTTTCTTTTCAAATATAAAATCTTACCCTTAGCTGACATCCAACTTTTTCATAAGCTTTGATGAGTCTATTTCTGTGATACATCATTATCCCATAGTGATCTTTATTTCTGCAGTTGAATCCAAAAGTTATTCTCACTGTTTTAGTCTTCAAATGTTAAGGAAAATTCTAAACAAGACCTTACTCTCTTCCAATCATCTTTTCTATTTCTTTTTTGTGGGGAAAGCGCAGGGTCTCACTATTTCGTTCAGGCTGGCCTTGAACTCACTACATAGCCCAGGACTGCCTTGAACTCATGGCAGTCCTCCTGCCTCAGCCTCCAGCAGGCTGAGATTATCTATTTCATTATTAATAAATTCTAAAATACATAGAGAAGGGCAAAGCTGAGGAGGATTAGAATCCCTATTAGAATAAAATGGGAAAGGGGCTTGATTGACAAATGTCTGTACAGCATCAAAAAAAGGATACTAAAAATTTAGGTCGATAAACATCACGTTCAATGTAGGCAAGACTTTTTGAAACTAGCTGTGTCTTCACTTTCTGTCCACGCAAGATGATCTGCATTCTTGGCTTTAGATATAATATACTGCAATAAGCCTGCAAAGAAACATATTATTATCTACAGATTTGTTTGTTATTACACAGATATGCCTTTAAATAGAAATCTAGCACCTTGCCTTGACAATACAAATGTTAATTCTTCAATAAAACAATATATAGATAGGATCATGGCTAAGTGATAAAGCTGTACTCGACACATGTGAGGCCCTGTTTCAAGTCCAGCACATGGAAAAAGGGGGGAAAATACACACACACACACACACACACACACACACACACACACACACACGAGAGGGAGGGCCAGGGATGTAGCTCAATGGTCCAGCAAGTAAAAGGCCTTGAGTCCGATTCCTGGTACCAAAAAAATAAAAAAAGGACACTCCCCTGAAAAAAAAAAAAAAAAAGCGAGAGCAAGAGAGAAGAGAGACAAACTCATAAAGCTGCACTGATTATTCTCGTTAAAATAAATTCAACAAATATGAAATTAATACTATAATACTCAATGAGGGGCAAGTTAACAGTCTATTGACCTATACATTACTAAGTGAAAAAAAAGTTACAAAACAGTATGCATGACTCCATCTTACTCGTGTAAATGTATTTTTAAAAACTGGGATTGAACCCAGGGCCTTTATACTGAACTACATCCCAGTCCACTCTTTATTTTGAAACAGGACTCACTATGCTGCCCAAGCTGGTGTCAAACTTGCAATACTTCTGCTTCAGCCTCCCAAAGGGCTAGAATTAGAGGGATGCATCATCATGCCTGGCTTCATTTTAAATTTTTAAAAAATGTATATATGTACAAACAAGAGCATTCTGACCTTTGTCAAGTGTATATTGATATATTGCTATTATAATCTTAAAAATAGTTTTATTTAGGCAAAAATGAGCAAGATCTAAAACAAACAAAAGAATAATATACTCTATGTTTGACAAATTAATTCTAACACACTAACATTTAATCAAAGTAGACGTGCTTTTTCAAAACTGAGCTGCAAACTATGCTTTCATTTCTTAAAACATGATGTTGAAAGCCTTCAGACATCTGAGCAAACTTTACACCTGAAACAGGTTAAAATATGTGCTTTATGGGGGCCAGAGATTTACTCAATGGTTCTGCACCAGCCTCGCAAGCGCAAGGTCCCAAGTTTGATCTCCAGCACCGGGGGGGGGGGGGGGGGGCTACCCTCCTCTGTACCATCAGAAACGTCCAAAGGAAATGCACTGAATAATTCAAAAAGGATAAGAAACAAGTTCCACACAAACTAAAATCTGAACTTTTCTTTTTTCCCTGCCAATCCATTTCAAAAGTGAAGTGTATCACTTTTAAATTCATTAATGATATTTAAAACCTGCACACTTTGATGCTCTGGTTGCCACTAGTCCTGTGTCATACTTGAACAAGATTTTGTTCTTTCTCTCCTTTTTTCAAGAGCAGTACTGGGGATCCAACCCAGGGGCATTCTACGCAGGGCACTCTACCACTATATCCCCAGCCCTTTTTATTTTGACACAAGGTCTCTGTAAATTGCCCAGGTTGGACTTGAACTTGAGAACTTCCTGCCTCAGCCTCCAGAGTAGCTGGGTTCTCCTAACAGCTGGCTATACCCCGGTACAACAGGACACACCAAGGAATAGCATACTTTTACTACCATAATTGCTAGGACCTCACAGAAAGTTATATGGCAACCTTGTAAATCTCCAAAAGTCTCAGCTTGCAGTGAAACAATTTTAACACACACACATGAACAAAAACAGCAAAGTTAAGTCTTACCATGTCAAAGTTAGTCAACATCTCTTATAAAAACAATTATTTTCATTATTGTTATCAACATTGTTACAGATTTTTATTTCTTCAATCTTAAAAATATGCCCATTTCTAAGGTCAAATCTTAAAATAAAATTTTCACAAAAATCATCATCATCATCATCATCATCATCATCATCATCATCATCATCATCATCTATAGCCTATATTGACTTAGAAGGACAACTAAGATATATTAGACAAGTATTCCAGAACACTGTAAAAGAAAATGCACTTTGAATTTGATGTTTTGTGACTGAATCGGTCAGTCTAGCCATCACAAAAACATACTGTGGGCTGGCACACAGCTTAGTGATACAGTGCTTGCCTACTAGGTTGGAGCAAAGGGGAAAAAACAAATTCCAGTATCACCAATTCAAACCACCTAGGCGCACAGTGGAGAACTATGAGCACTGTTAAATGTGATTAAAACTAAACAAGATTTTCTAAGCAAATAAAACACCCACACACTAATGAAAAGCGAAGCTGGCTCACTCCGAGCTCCCTGGCAGCTGCTGTGAGGCCAATGGGCCTCAGCGACCCTTGGTGACCAGCTCAGTGCAGAGCTGCATACATACCCTCAAGGAATAGTCACTCTCGGGGGCAATCTGGTCTATCCTTTCTTGCTTCTTGTACCCTTTCTTCCCTGTGGTCTCATCTAAATCCTCGGGAATTCTGATGTCATATTTATCCTTTTCAAAATCAAACTCTGTTGCATTTTTGTAGCTGTAAAAATAATTTTAGAAAGCAAAATTTAACTTTACAGCAAGATAAGCAAGCAAGCAAATTGAAAAAACAAAAATAAACATGTATGGTAAACTTAATTGGGGGGGGTGCTGGATACAAAAGCAAGACAAAAGAAAAGGAAACCAAGTAACTGTATCATGCATGCACTGGCAGTGGGAATGTAAAATGACAGTCTCGCTGGCACTCTAGCAGTTTCTTGGTCTACTGAAAATACAGCCAGGCATGATGCCACATGCCTATAATCCCAGCACTTCTGGAGGCTGAGGCAAGAGGATTATATTTCAAGCCCTGCCTGGGAGACTTAGCAACTCAGAAAGACCTTGTCTGAAAAAAGTGGGGGGCTGGGGGTGTAGCTCATACAAAGGCCCTGAGTTTAATCTCCAGTGCCCTTCTCCCCCCTCTCCCTCCCTCTTCCTCTCTCTCTCACCATATGATCCAACAATTACACTCCTGGGCATTTGTTTTTAAAAAATGAATTCTACAATCCCATTAAACACCTGTACATAAACTGTTTACAGCATTATTTGTAATAGCACCACATAAACAACCCAGATCCTTTAACAGGAGAACAGTTAAGCATAATGGGTGTCTGTCCACACAATACAGTATTAACGAGAAGCCAACTATGGACACACACACGAACTTAGATGTGTCTCCAGAGAACCATGCCTAGGTGAAAAATAAAAGGTTTCACACTGTATGGCCCCACTGATACAATATTATTTGAAATGACAAAACTATAGCAAGGGAACAGATTAGAGGTTGCATGGAATGAAGGCAAAAGGGTGACAGAAGGAAGGACACAGGCTCTGCAATGGCAATAGTAACTCCCGGAGCGATGATACTCTGTCTCGTGACTGTGTTGAGGACAATCCTGTCACTAATGACAGCACTTCTGTACTATAGTTTCAAGTAGCACTATTTGGGCAAACTGGGTAAAAGATACAGGAGATCTCTGATCATTTCCTAAAACTGCACATGAATCTGTAATTATTCCAAAATGCCTGCCTGGCAAGTGCAAGCTCCTGAGTTAGTTAGGCTGTAGGCACCAAGAGACCAAAAAAAAAAAAAAAAAGCTGAGTTGGAAAAAGACAAACAAACAAACAAAAACCTGCAGAATAAGGGGCAGGAAGGCAAAAGCAAGAGGAAAAAATAAATGGAAAAGGGAAGGGAAATCGGGTCAGAAAAAGCACAAGTTTTAAAGTTATTTAGGGTTAAACTTATTTGTGCTTTATTCCTTTGGTTCAGCATATCTTTGACCTCTCAATACTACATATTTATCCTAAATTCTGAAGTTTTATTTAAAAAGGACTTTTTTCCTTACAAGGATAAAAAAACTATATAAATTTTAGCAGTATAAAAATCTCATCTAAGCCAGGCATGGTGGCACACATCTGTAATCCCAGTAGCTGGAAGACTGAGGGAGGATTGCCACAGCCGCAATTCGAGGCCAGCCTAGGCTACATAGTGAGATCCTGTCTCAAAAAATAAAATAAATAAGGGGCCAGGGATTTAGCTCAGTGGCACCATGACTGCCTAGCAAGCGCAAAGTCCTGAGTTTGATCCCGGTTACCAGAAAAAAGATAAAGAAAACAAACACTAACCTATATTATTTTTCTTACCAGATGCTACATAATGCTTAGCTCTAAGAACAAATGGAATGGACAAAGATTTATCTCCCTAACTTTCACAAGCTGGATTTGTCATAGCTGGGCTTGTCTTCAGTTCTTTCATGGTTTTGAGAAGTGATGGTAGAATAATAGAAAAGTGTTACTGGAGACTGGATTTATAGCAACATAAATATCTCAAACTGAAGCCAAAGAAGCCTCAGTAAAATACCTCTGGAGAAGCCAAATCATTAACAATGCCAAGCAATGAGCACCTCTGCCTGCATTTACACTGTGTCACAAAGGTCGCACTGAGGAAACCCATCCTGTATGTGTAACTTACTTCCCCTGTGGACAACTGCCTAAGAGCTACACTTACCTTCTAAGATTCCAAATGATGATCCGTGTCCCCTTCTTACCCATAATTGCGTCAAGTTCTGCCAGCAGCTTTTGCTCCGTAGGAAACAGAGAATGTTCTAGAACTGCAGCAAGGCTTGCTTTTGATTCTGCTAAATTAATCATCTGTCGTACATCCTTAGTTAAAGACTGAGATTGATAACATATTTCCCACAACTATAATATAGACACCAACTCTAACAATCTTAATAGAAAAACTAATTCCTGAAGTTTTAAAATGGTAGTTTGAGTCAGGCACAGTGGCACACACCTCTAACCCAGCTACTCAGGAGGCTGAGGCAGAAGGATGGCAAGCTGAAGGCTAACCTGAGAAATTTAGTAAGGCCCTGCCTCAAAAAAATGTAGCTCAATGGTAGAGCATTTCCCCTAGCACACCGAAGGCCCTGGGTTTGACTCCCAGTACTGCAAAATGAATGAATGAATGTAGGAATGAATAAAACAAAACAGCAATTCACTCTCAAGTGAACACTAGGAAGAATTAAAAACAAGCAAGTTTATTGTCATTGCTAACTAATTTGGTGCTATCCAATGCTTCAATGTGTTTACATAGAAGGCATTTTCCAGAAGTTTTCTTGCTTTTCATGGTTGTTAGCAAAACCTTCAAACCAGCCCACAAAATCTTATCAGTCCATAAGAAGCTGGAACAAAGAGAGGATCTATGAACAAAGCTCAATGTGGTGGTGGTTGTATGCTGTGGTATTGGGGAACAAACCCTGCCAGGCGCACAGTCTACCACTGAGCTCCACCTCTACCCTCTTGGAACCAATCTATCATAGAAGGCAAGCAACCTCTGCTAAGGATTTCCACAGCACAATTCTAACAGAGAGGACAAGCCCTGAACTTCACTTCAGGGTAAAGGCAGAGGACACAGAAGAGAGCTAGGACAGGACAGATGTGATTATACAATAAAGACCTGCTCTGGGAGGCTGAAGCAGGAAGATGGCAGATGAAAGCCCAGCCTGGGCGACTCAGTCACAGCAAGACTCTGTCTCAAAATAAAAAAGGGCTGGGGATGTGGCTCAGTCCAAAGATCCTGGGTTTATCCCTAGTATGGTAAAAACAAATATAATAAGGATTTGGAGGAAGGCAAAGGGCAGAATGTTTCAGGGTATTTTCCAGTTTCCCCACAGTTTCTATTTCCCAAGCAAAAGGATATGATGTCTGTTGAAGGCGACAATTGGGACAACCACATGTTCTGCTTTGATGGCTTCCAGGTAGGTCTGAGACAAGAAGCCCACACTCATGCTTTCTCCATTTTTGGTAAAAACGATCGCGTCTTTACCCAAGCGCATAGAGCCCGACTTGAAGCCATTCCCATACAATCCAACTGGGACATGACCATTCATGGTAACTTTATCACTGAAGCCAAAGCTAGAAAGAGAACCAAAGATTTCAACAATTAAACACCTATACCTTCACTTTTTAAAAAAAAAATCCACCCAATATAACACCAAGTAAAATGTTTGGCTCTCACATGCTGACCTCTGCCTGCCTGGCAGTGAGGATGCCCAGCTACAACACAGGGCAGAAGGGTTACAGCAGCAACAGGCATTCATGGCTGTGCCCCCTACCAACAGGGCCAGCAGGAGCTTGAGCCCCCAGCCCAGGAGTCTCTTCTGCTAGTTCTAAGTGAGACTACACGGTACGATCTATCACGGGGTACCTCCACTTTCTGGCTGCATAAGAAATATTTCAATGACGACCGAAGACCTCTGCTTCTACATTCCCTATGCCGTTCAGTTTCCATTTCAGGTACATTTAATTCATACTGACAGCCTGCTCTCTGACCCTACAGTCCAAGGCCTTCTGAATATTTTGTGCTGCTTTCCAGTCTTTCAATCTCTTTCAAGTTACTCCCCTCCAAAGCTAAGTTTTATTAGAAACACTGGTTAAAACTAATTTACACTAAAGTGCAAACAGCAGGTACAGCCTCAGTACTCTACAACTCTAAAGGGATGCTGGAATTGTAGATAAGTCAAAACACAGGGATGAGCAAACAAGAAAGATGCGGACTGCCCGATTAACTACCACGTACAAAACAAAGGGAAAACTGACAAAGAGACTCAATCGCCCTGTAAGTATTGTAGCTCAGGATAAAAACTAAGGATAAAATGGCACATGAAACCCTTCCACTAGGTAAGAGCCATGGCTTTCTTAAGTACGGCACATCTGTACATACCTAAGCATTTTGTGTAACTTATCTGATGTCATACCGTTCCCATTATCAGTAAATGTCAAGCATATCCGGTCATTTATCACTGTTTTATCAATCCATATCTGTTTAGCGTTCACATCAGGGTCATAAGCGTTATCTGGAAAGCAAAGAGTTTTGAGAAATTTTGAGTTTGCATTTTAAAGAGCTACTGGTTCAGAACAAACCTGTAATAAGCAAAAGAATACCATTATTTCAAGACGGAGTTTAAAAGTTGTAAGTTTGCCAAGAACTTAGCTCAGTGGTGCCTCGCTGCCTGGCAAGCACAAGGTCCTGAGTTTGACCCCTGGACTGGGGGGTGGGAAGTTTTAGGAACTCCTGAGGCTTGAAAACACAAAACTAAACTATATTGGCTGACTAGAGCAGAATCAACCATTTCCAAAGCTCTCAGTGTTAGCAGTGAGCACAGACTGGCACCTGTCGTACTGCACCCATCATGGTGTCACGGCACACAGGAACCACAAGAGGCCTGGCCTGGAGATCCTAATGGCAACCGAGAGTCGCCATGGAGGGACATGGTGCTCACTACATTGATGAAAAGCAGTATTGTCTGTGGGCTACACACTCCGATGGGAGACCTGCCTTGTACAAAGTTCCACAGCTGTGGCCCTTGCCAGTTTAACTCACGTTTCTTCTGGCCTTCACATTTCTCTCTCTGCATACCTCCCCAATTAATACCTTTGTTTAGGGGTAGCAATCTTATTTGCAGGCAAAGTAAATTTCAAACCAAAACTGAATCTAGTATTATTGATGTAGGACAGTACTGTATCATACCTCTATGAATGTAAAATATCTAGTACCTGCTTTATGATACATAGTAGGGACCGTGCTTTATCAGAGCTACATTTAATGATATTACTCTAGAATGTTCTCTTTCCAGATGATGATTACGAGGCTAATAGAAACAATGGTGCCAGGTACCACAACAGCAACAGAACTTTGCTGTTGTCTGGATACTATTCTTTTCTTTGGTTTTTTTTGTTTTTTGTTTTTTGTTTTTTTTTAATGGAATGTGCTGAATGTCTATAATTTTGTTCAGATGACTGCAGAACCTGGAAAAGCTGTTGCTGCTATCGATGCATAACATACTACTATTAGTCATTATATATATATATATGTATATATATATATGTATATATATATACATATATATATACACACATATATATATATATAAATTGAATTTTGGGAAACTTTAACGGTGCTGCCAACTTTGGAAAAAGTCATCCCAATTTACTGTGTTGACTTGGCATTGTACAGAAATGGACAACCATATTGAAATGTTAATTTATTTTTTTTCCCCATGTGTACAGGGGTAATACATCATACTAAATATGTAAGGTCATATCTACGTAGGTTTGATTACAGAAACTAATAAAGTATTCTCTAAATAATGAAAAAAAGAATAAGATAAGACTATAAGAGCGAGAAGCAATTTAAATATGTTCAGGGACCATTTTCATCTCCAGAATTAAGGATTATTTTACTGTTACATCATTGCCTTTTCTCTTTTACTTTCCTTTTTAGTTTTGTTTTAGGATTCCCTATTTTTAATGTTCATACAGAGATTTCTTTAACTGAAACACCGAATAGTTTCTTTGGTGTGGAAAACCATAATAGTACACAAGATCCTAATGAGATAATTAATAATGTGAAATAGGAAGTAAAGGGCTAAAGGTGTAAGGAAAGTGGGAAGGGTGGGGGAAAGGTAATAAGGGAGAGGAAAAAAATATGAGAAACTGATAAAATGGAAATAAAGTGTTTGTAAATGGGGAGGGGAGGAGGGGGTGAAGGGAGGGCAGGGACAAGGGGAAAAAAATGAGAATCAAGACCTATTATGTAAAGGTACAGAATCCCAATGATGAATGTAATTGTATTGTATACCTAGGTTGTACCAATAACCTCAATAAAAAGAAAAAAAAAATACCCTTGTTTAGCACACTCATTTCTCTCAGAATACTTATTCTGAGAAATACATTGAAAAATGGAAGGGCCTGGGATGTAGCTCAGAGGTGTCGCACCTGCCTGGCACGCACGGGTCCTGAGTTTGACTGTGGGGTGGTGGTGAATAGTAACAGGAATAAAATCAACTCATGAATTATCCAAGACCAACCTGAATATTCATATATATATACTTCTTTACTTATCAATCACACATACACATATATCTCAATTTTTTAATCCAGTACTGGTACTTGAACCCAAGTCCTTCACATTGAACTACATCTGTTTTTTTGTTGTTGTTGCTGTTGTTTTCTGAGAAAGGGTCCCACCATACAGCTCAGGCTGTCCTTAAACTCAGTACGCAGCATAGGCTGGCCTTGAACTTGAAGCGATTCTCCTGCCTTAGCCTCCTGAATGCTAGGATTACAGGTGTGTGCCACCATGCAGTTGTTTGTTTCAGACAAAATCTTGCCAAACTGGACTGACACTTGTAATCCTTCTGCCTCAGCCTCCCAGCACGCTGAGATTAAGGCCTGCACCACCACACCTGGATTTATTGAAATATATTCTAAAGTTTTTATTATAAATAATGGAGAGTTTTCAAATTCTTCTTTTATAAAGCAGGTTGTAACTAAGTAATGTTTTTTCAACCACTTCAAGAGGACACCATAAATTGAACCATCAATGTCATGGGTTGCTCCACTAAGGTGCCATAAAATATAAGAATAGCTGGACCAGGGATTTAGCTCAGCGGTTTGGTGGCCTGCCCTGCAAGTGCAAGGACCCAAATTCAATCCCTGGTACCAAAAAATAAAATAAAATAGTAAGAATAGCTAAAATGTCAGGCAGGTGTGGTGCCATGTCTGTAATTCCAGCACTATGGGAGGCCAAGGTGGGAGAATCAGGCAAATTAGTGATTTATGAAGAGCTTCTCTCAAACTAAAAAAACTTAAAAAGGATTGAGGATGTAGCTTGGTGCAAGGGTCCTTGGTTCAATTCCCAGTGCTGAGTGGGGTGGGATGGGCATTATATAGCTGTAATGCACAGGAGATCCACAAAGTATCACCTGAACCCTATTTGTCAGGGGAAACAAGAATTTACTACTATAAATCTAACATATTACCCTCCCAACATGAGAAAGATGAATCCACTCACACTACTGAGAAGCATAATTCTCATTTTTTACACCCATAATCCAAATGAAAATATTTCCAATAAAAACACTTTATGAGCTTAGCAAATTAAATCTTAAGTACTAGGAAATAGTTGCTAAATGGAATGTTGCAAATCTTTACTAGGAGGAAATAGCTGGTAAATGGAATGTTGGGCAGGGATTAATCTGAGATTCACTGGTCTAGTCGTCATGCTAAGTAAGCAAGCATTACCATTAATGTTCTCATTCAAGATACTTTTCCCTCTACGGTACATGTCTATAATTGTTCAGTAAAAACTCTTTAATGCTATAATTGCAAGCAACATACAGTATATGAAATGTCAATTTACGTACCTATTAATTCAGCAACGGCACTGAACGGCCAGGTATGACTAGTTGAATTTGTGTGTAAAAACTTCGGGCAAAGCTGAAACAAACCAACCAATGATTTATGTAAATTAATTCAGATCTTACTTCTGAGAACAAAAACCAATATAATTTGTCTCTATGTTAAACAACATTGAAACTAAACAAACGTGACTCAAGACTCAACTACTTGCTGCAGGAAGATGTGCCCTAAAAGACTCCTGGGAAATGAGGCTGGGGACCAAGAGGCTTACACAGCAGGACTAGTTTCAAATCCTGCCTTTGGGGACCTCATATGTCATCAACTGCTCCACCGCCTGCCCTCAAAGATCCACCTGAGAAGGAGCCAGCACAAGTCCTCCAATCTAATAAACAGCACTCTAGAATCTCCATTCTCTAAGAAACAACTTTACAAAGGTCTTTCCTCTTCAGTGTATTAGCTGTGCTTGTTCAGCAGGCTTTTCATATGGCCACTTAAGAGTCAGGATTTCACACTTTGACTTGAAAGTCAACTTCATTCCAGTCAAATTTCTGGCAGTGGAGCAGTATACATCTACACTCTACAAACAAATGTTAATTAGTGATTCTAGTGCAGTAAACCATTCTGCTTTCACTCAGTAATAGAGCAAGGGAGAAAATATCAATCAATAGCTTTTGTTAGGGAACTCTGTAATTTCCTGAGTGTTGTAGACAACAAATGCAGAAAAATGTACACATGGTTTTAAAAATCCAAGGCTTGAACTATTCGATATGCAGAGAATTTCCATGCATTTTGTACTCATTTTTAGCAGCTTCTCATATTGAAAGAAAAAGGAAGTACATCAAGTGTGTGTTAAGTGTGAAGAGCTCTAGAAGCAAGTTTGGAATATAAATCAGGCAAGGATATTTATAGTGCTCAGCTGCTGCTAACAGGTATTATCAGAAAGAGGTCTGCTCGGCCTCTGACGAAACTTGACTCCAGCCACTGCTTAACATCTGTTAGGCCCAAGTACTACACATGTGAGAAATGGTACCCTGGAGAAGACTGGTCTCAAACAGGAGTATGTGCAATTTGGACTTTCTATGGCATACATCTGGGAATACATATATTCCTTGCTTGACGACCTACCTGGTTAACTGTTCACAACCCGCCACTCACTTTTACAAATGGTCTTTTGTGTTGTGCAATTCTGTACAACTTGTTTATAGAGCCTCAATGTTGTTTTCGTACAATGTGTCTTGTTTATACAGTACTGTATAAACTGCTGATTGGACTGTACTTTAGTTTCATTTTCTTTCTTTCTTTTTTTTTTTGGTACCAGGGATTGAACTTGGGTGTTTGCGCTTGCAAGGCAGGCCACCGAACCGCTGAGCTAAATCCCCAGCCTTCAGTTTAATTTTCTGTTACATATCACAGTACTGAATATCAAAGTTATGCAAATATAAGCAAAGGCATCAAGTTGTATTTCTTCTGTCCTGAACAATGGAATGTACGTACTATATACAATTCCTCATTTAGCAACCAACTCGTTTAAGAGCCTAAACACAACCAGTGGACTCAGTTGTCACATAAGTACCTGTATGGCATTCATTTCTTAAGCACACTCCACAAGTTTCTAAAGAAAACCAACCTCTAGTTTGTCAATGGTACAAAGTTTTTCCTCTAGTTAATCTACATAAGAATATGCCAGCTGGTCAGCCATCAGGAAGCTCTTCCTGTCCTTCCTCCCCCTCCACATCCCCCACCATCTGTGAGAGAACTCCATAACCCTCACCCACCTATATCTTACTAAGGGACATGTCCCAGGCAAGAACCTCTTGTTAGTAAACAAGTGACTAAATAACTATATTTCTGTTAAGGGTGAAGTCAGGAATCAGAAACGGGGGACTTGGGTACATGCCGAGATATTCTAAATCTAGATGTAGAAGGCTGTGGCAAGAATGTCAGTTTTTATTTAATTGCTTCATTCTTCATACTGACTCTAAATTGAAAAGGTCCACATCATTCTTGAGTAAGAGTTCCCTAAGAGCAAAGAGTGTGGCAACAAGAAGTAACAATTTGTGCTAAAAATTATCTCCTATGTTTAACCCCCTCCCATAAAAACACACTTTTTAGCAATCCTTAATGCTACATTTCCTTAGCTGGAAAGAAAAATACCTTTGAGCAGCCAAGGCCACACAACACACACACACTTCACGTACACTAGAAACAGACTGACTATGGGACGTACTATATATTCACTAGGTATGTCATCTTGGTCAACAAGCGTAAACCGTGCTTCCAGTTTTGTCACCTAACAAATTGGAATGACAACAGAACCAGTTAGTTCGTTAAGAGAATTACACAACTTAAATATCTTTAAGTGCTTAGAAGAATGCCTAAATGTAAGAAAAATAAGCATTTTTAAAAAGTAAATATCCCTTTAAAGGCAAAACTGAACTCATATAAAAATAAGCAAAATCCTCACGGACCCCAGATAAAGAAGGAACTAAAAATCAAAGATACACAAATGGGGCTACACTGGAAATGAAAGTGAGAGCATTAACTGATCAGAGAAAGGTTTGGGTTTTAATGGTGACTCAGGGATTTGTCAGAAGACAATTATGTAGTTACTTTGAGGTTACTGTTTCCCCTTTGCCTAAAAGGAAATGGCACGGCTGGCATCTACCTAATGGGAAGCTCATCTGCTTTGGCCTTTAGGCCCAAAGGTGGGGAAAATGTGTACCACAAGATGTATAGAAAGAAATACACCTCCATGTGGGTTAAGGGTTTCAACTGTACATTATACAGAACCAGGGCTAGGGATTTGGGATTTTCAGCTCAGTGGTTCCACTGCCTGCCTCCCAAGTACAAGGTCCAGAGTTTGATCCCCAGTACCCCCCTAAAAAATACACACACACACACACACACACACACAGAACCAGTTCAATCAGACAGCACATGATTCCCTTGGGTAATTATTTTTGAGACACAATCCCAAACCTTTTTTTTTTTTTTTTTTTTTTTTGGTACCAGGGATCAAATTCTGGTCCTTGCACTTGCGAGGCAGGCAGCGGAAGGAACCACTGAGCCAAATCCCAGCCCCAAAACCAAACCTTTAAGGAAAACAATCCACAAGGTAAAAATGTTAGCAGATGAGACCCAGTACTATTAGACCACAGGCCACACTGGCATACTCAGTAAAAGAACAAATGAACACACAGACACACACCAACACACACCCACAAATGAGACACTATGAAGTAAACAAAGTTTTTTAAGAATCAGCAGAGAGCTTTTAAAATCAGCAAAACAGTCACAAAATTTTCAAAACTGTTTAAATAGAAAACCCTTATAACTTGGAAGCTTAAACACATGGTGTGTTTATCTATGTCTCCTCCTGAAGCTACTTCAAAAAGAAAAAAAGAAAAAAAAAGCATAAAGAGAAGAAAGAACTAGAAGTGATGGGCAACAGCAGACAAAGCAGTAGTACGGAAACAGGAAAAGCACAGACTATGAGAACAGACTAAATACCCTGGGAAGTTAAATCAGAAGCCTGCAGGAGAGGGGAAACCCAGTAGAACACGCCAGGAACCTCTGCAAAGCCACATGAAAGCTTAGGAATCATACTTCTGTGACCTTAAGGAGCAAGTACCAGATTGCATGAAAACAAGATAGACTGAAACTCTTGGCAATTAAGATTTCCCCAGAAGCTTCTTCCCTCTTATCTGCACTCTGAAGTGTTATGGTTTAGATCTAAAATGTCCCCTCAAAAGCCTCTGTGTTCAGAGGTGGGGTTTGGGGAAGTGAATGGCTCATGGGGTGCTGTACTCATTGATGGATTAATCCACAGATTTGTTCATAGCTGATCACAGCTGATTGTGCTGCCAGGAGATGGGGCCTGGCCTGAAGAGGTGGCCCCTGCAGCGTGACTGGAAGAGGGTATCCCTGCTTTGTTCCTGGCCACTATGAAGAGGACAGCTTTCTACCTTGTGACACTTCCACCATGCCCTTCTTGCCTTAAAGCAGGGGGACAATGGACTGAATCCTCTAAAAACCGTAAGCCAAAATAAACCTCTACTCCTTTAAATTCTGGGGGTCAGAGTGAGTAAGATATCCACAGAATACTAGATGTCTGTTCTTTAGACAACAAGCTGGACTCCAGGGACAACTGAAAAGAGGTGAGTTAACAGCAAGGCAGCCAAGAGTCCACATAAAAACCTCATGTATATGGCACTCCAGGTCTCTCAGGGGGAAGACAGGAAAGGCTTCGACAAATGCTGCTGGGGAAACTGGGTATGCACACTACCTCACCACACACACAAAACTTAAGATCAAAGTGGACCAAAGAACTAAATGTAACAGCAGCAACCTCAAAACCTTTAAAAGACAGCACAAGGAAAAACAAAACAAAACAAAACAACCAAAACAACATTTATACATTTAAGAACCAAAAAATAAATTAAAATTAAAATTAAAAAAAGCATGGGAGAAAAGTTCCTGGGATTTGGGAATGATTTCTTGGATGCAGAAAAAAAAAACACACACACATAAATTAGACTCTATCAAAATTTAAAATTATGCATAGGACATAATTAACAGACCAAAAAGACAATTTACAGAATGGGATCTTTGCAATCAAATAGCAGATAAGGAGTTAATATCCAGAATATATAAAAAAAAACAACTAAAATTCAACAACTAAAAAACTACAACTGGGTTAAAAAATGGGCAAAGGCTTGTCTTAGCCACTTTCTCACTGCTAGGACAAAATACCCAATACCACAACTTAAAGGAGACAAGGTTTACCTTGGCTCACAGTTCAGAAGTTCCAGCACAGGTGCAGCAGGCCCACCAGGGAGGAAGAAACACCCTTCCAGTAACACCCCAGGGATCTACCTTTTCCCCCCAGATCCCCACCTTCTAACACCACAGCCGCTGGAGCTCTCCACCCCCAATCCATCTTATCCCATAAGCCCAGCCTCTGAACACAGGAAGCTTTGGGGGACAACCACATAGAAGCCTAACAGGACTTGAATAGACATTTCTCCAAAAAAGTATACAAACAGCCACTACAGAAGTAAAAATTGACATCATTCATC